GCAATCATTTCACAATATATACAAATATTGAGTCACCTGAAACTAATAGAATGTTATGTCAATTATATCTCAATAAACAAAAAAAGAATATCCATAAAAAAATAATAAAGTGCCCCTTTGTGGTTACACAAAGAATTGAGTCAGAATATATTTTAGCTGCCAGTAATGGAGAATTGCTTTTAGTCTGCCAGGCATTAGTGTATCTACTGATCCAAGCCATATTTTTATGCATTATGTTTTTTGTTAACTGCCAGCGTAGTCCAGACATGTGTCACAAGCATTTAAAGGACACACTGTGATCAATTAGGATACCCTACCTCAATGTGACCTTCATTTTTGCCTAATTATATGTTGATTGCTACTAATCAGCATCGTATTTGAAATGAACAAATTGGTCTGATAGAGGGAGAGCGTAAAGAGCAATTGCTATATTATATTTTAACAGCTCATTTGTGTCTGGAATGAAATTTTTGATTCTCTTTAACAAACCACTTTTTGCCATTTTTAATTATTTCTTGTATATGTTGCATACACAGCACTTTTAATATGTAGTATACATTGTATGTATGTGTATTTAGGAATACAGAAATCATCATGGTCCCAACTCAGTAGTTCCTACTGTTATTTAAGTCCTGTGAAAGCATTAGTACTTTCAGTATTCATTTTATAAATCCATTTAAATGTACCCAGTAGGGGAACTAGTGAAGTTATCTTTCAAAGCCATATAATTGTAAAAATCTAAATGTAAAGTATCTTCCAATATGTTAAAGGTATATTCAGCTTAGCTCCAATCAGAGTGAAATTTTTACATTTGCATTGATGATAACCTTAGCCTTCTTTATAAAAATGTGAGCATGTTGGGGGCTTTGAATGTCCCTAAACAGTTCTTTGGCTTTTGTAGAAAGATACCTGTGAAATTTCAATATTTCCTCTAGAGGTGTGTGAGTGAGTGAGTGAGTGTGTGTGTGTGTGTGTGTGTGTGTGTGAATGCCTATGTATATATGAGAAACTGACAAAGAGAAAATACATATGGAGGCATGAATGTGGAGACAGGTTGTTTGCCTTGTCAGAACTTCTAGAAGAAATTAGGTCACTGCTGCTGCTACTACAAAACAATATTAACTGTGAGATTGGACGTATCCATTTAGTTATCCACCTGCTACCTTGGCTGTGGAGTTGACACCAAATATTTTTGCGTACAGTAGAAACATGACCCAAAGAATGGGAAAGAGATGTCAGCTCAGCAGCGGTGTTTTTACCTAGCTGCCCCTGGATTGAGCTAGAATCTGGCCAGTGAGAAGTTAACAAAGTACAGCAGGGAGATGCAGCAAGTCAGAGCTGAGAAGGCTTTCATAAGGAGGAACTGAAGGAGAGAATGTGTAAGGACTGCAACTCTCATGGCTTACTAGGATCTTTGTTTTTGTTTTCAATTACAAAAGCAAAGCCAATAGAGTGTATCTTCTCAGGTTCTGCTTTCTCTCTGTGGAGTTCCTAAATGGATTTCAGTCACTCCACAGTGACTCTGTGGACTACTAGCACAATGATCTAGTTTGGCATTAATAGGCCCTCTAAGGTCATTCATGTAAAATAATTGTATTGGTGACCTCTCTGCCTACATTTGGCTGGTAAAAGACTATAATAATGATTGACTGCCACAAATAGCCCCAATTTTGTTAGTTTCTTATAGTAATAAATCCCCAATTATATTTTGAGAATTGTTGAGGATTCACTGGCACTGATAATTATTAGTGACATAAGTTATCAATATTTGGAGCATGTTTAATGACCATTTTATTCATATATAGGAAAGGAAGCAAGACTCTAACCCTGAAAATACATAAACTACACGGACAAAATTAATCTTGCAAATATTAATCTTGCATTATACTCTTATCTACTAACTCAGAAACTAATAAGGAAATATTTTATTAAAAATCCATCATTGTCCTGTGGTAGTGGTCACATGAACCTACACATGATAAAATTGCATAGAACTGCATGTGCGTGCATACACACACACAAAAAAGTGCATGTAAGACTAGTGAAATCTACATAAGGTTATTGGATGGTAACAATATCAATTTTTTGGTTGTAATATTGTTCTGTAATTGTGGAAGTTATTACCATTGGATAAAACTGGGTGGAATACATTATTTCTCACAGCTGCAAGTAGATCTACAGTTTCTCAAAATCAGAAGTTAAAAACAAGTCTGTCATTGTACAACATCTTCTTGTCTTAACACAAATCATTCATCAAAGGGCAAGGAGTAGAGATTGATAACTAGTACATGAAATTTTATTTTTTACATAAATTAGAAAATTGATGTAAGTTTCTTAGATGGAAAATAGTGCTTTGCTCTTTATAGTGGTAGATAACTTAGAAGTCTAAACTTACAGCTACTTCCTTGGTTTGTTTAACTCAGTTGAGTTCCCACCGCTGTGTTCCTTTTCTTCACAGATCTGTGTCTCCAAGTGCCCAGAAAAATTTTTAACTTACATGGAAATACAGTTTAGGTACAGAACAAACAAACACTATTGGATGTACTACAGCCAGTTCTGCAAATCCCCTTTTGTTAAGCCTGCAAAGGTATGTGTGTTTAAGCTTAAAACTAGAGAAGAATTTAACTTTTGTGTCAATCTCAAGTGCAACATGAGCATTTGTAATAGACAAGCTCCCAAATCATCTAGGAAATGATTATGTATTATTCCATTAAAACACAAAGTTACATAGAAACACACATGCACCATTTATAGCTTATCATTGTGTAGACTTCAGGTGTTATGCAAGACTCTTAAGTCTGGTAAGTTGGCTTTAACTGTTCCTTGAAACTAACAAATTCTCTACTTGGCTTGATTTTTTTACCATCAAGATCTAGGAGCTAATGTCATTTGATTTTATTAATGTTACCATTTCATTAATGTGATGATGAAGATCCATGGCTACTTAGTAACAAGTAGAATTTTATTTCCAAACCCAATTTGATAATTATTCATTAAAAAAAAATCCTCAAACCCTACCTAGGTTTGAGACTTATAAAGGAATTCTAAAGCCCCATTATGTTAAATAGTATTAATGGCTTCTAACTTAGAGAAGATGCTGTTTTTCCAGAGAAAATTTTTTTGAAGAATTAGAGACTCAGAATGTGACTAAGACATAGATACACACTTTCAAAGGTGTGTCTTGGCTTCAGTGGGTCTGGTTTTATTATTGTTGATTTGATTGAATTACAGTTAGGACATTTTAGAGCATTTGTCAAATAAGTATGTGTGTGTGTGATAATCTTAAAACCACTCTTATTAGGATAGTAATATGAAATAATGAGATAATTATGGAGTTAAATTTTCAAAGGACATAATTTTTATACTGAGAGTAAAAGTTGTCATTACGTAGCCTTTGAAATGTTAACATACTCTTCCTTCCATTTTAGACTGTCACACAAGTCTTACTGGATGATGATTGTCCAATAGCAATTTTTCCAAGCAAACCATGTAAGTGGTTATTACTTATCTTAGAACATACAATCATAAAAAGTTACTCAATTCAGTTCCCTATTTCACTATTGACAAAATTGAAGCCAAGAATAGTTGTATGACTGGTCCCAGAGTTAATTAGAAGGAAGCCAAAGCTAAAGCCCATTCTCCTGACTCCAGCCAGAGATATTTCCGCTGGAGCTCTGGTAGTTTTGGAGTTTTGCTGCATCAACATACACAGAAAAGATTAAAAATTGATTTTAAAAGCCCAGATTGATTATTTGGTGTTCTATGAGCACAGATAAGCACACACAGACATAATCTTGCACACTCACCCCTGAATTCAGCCAAAGAGTATGTTCAGAATTTGCCTGGGGGGTGATGGTTGGTCATAAACTTGTCCTATAATTTGAAATTTGAAATACTTATATATCTCTTAAAGGAATCAATATTTTATATTTTTAAGATTTATAAATATTATTTAAAGTTTACATAAACTTTGTCTACCTTTTTGAAAAAGAAAATAAAATAATCACTAATTTCCTATTCTTACAAATATAATCCTAACTACAGAGAAACAACTTTACCTAAAGATGCCCATCACAATGCTATTCAGAAGAACCAAAAAGAAAAAAAAAAGGAAAGGAAAAAGAAGCACTCTTATGTCCAAAAGCAAGAAAGTGCTTTAAATAAATTACAGTGTATTCATTAAATGAAATATTTTAGAATTATTAAATATAAGTATTATATAGTATAATATTAAATAAAATGCTATGTGCATTATAATGACAAGCATGTATAAATTAAAATAAAAAAGGCTATTCAAAGAAAAATATTGCAAAGAAATATGCCAAAATAGTATGCATGTTTTGGAGATGACAAAACTGTGGGCATTTCCTCTCTTCTTTCTTCTTTTTTCTATTGGAGTAGAAAGCCACGTACCGTTTTCTATTTGAGTAGAAAGTCAGGTATCATCGAAGTAGCTACCACCAAACACAATGCCTTATGCACCCCTCTCCCTTTTCTTTGGGTCATTGAGGACCATGAAGTAAAGATGCAAGCAACTGCATTTTGCCAGGAAGCCCTGGGCAACAAGTGTCAGTAGCCAAGAACAATGTTACAAAAAGATGAAAATGAATCCTTAGTCACTGAAGATAATAATAGGCATAAGAATATAAGACATCCCTGCCCTTACAAGTATAGTTTGGTTAAATCACACAATATAAAACGTACACTGGGGACACAAAAATGTATAAGGCATAGTCCCTCACAGTACAGTAAAGGAGACATTATGGTAAACATCACAATCAACTTGTATTCATTCCCCCAATAGGTGATGAAGTATACTACTTAATGGAAGAGTATGCAGCTAATAAAATTCACTTACTAAATAGTTTATGAAAGGAAATAAGTAATATTAAAAGAAAGAAACAAGGGAAAACCCTGCATTTATTTTATGGTTATGACTCTCAAAAAAATTTCTTGTAGAAGAAAGACTAGAAGGAAATTTATCTAAAATGTTAGAGTTCATTGTGGGTGGTAGGACTGTGTATTTTGTTATCTTTCTTCTTATTTTCTTTATTTTCCAAATATATAATGAGCATATTTAGTCATTGGAACTAACTGATTGGATGAAATTGCCCAGAACAAGGTTGGAGGACTCTGTAGGTGGAAACAGTCCTATTTAAGGAGTGACAAGGGAAAAAATGCACAGAAAAGCTAAAGGGAGAGCAGGAGAGAACTTGGGCATGTAAGCCAAAGGAAGAAGGCAGGGGTTGTCTACTATGTCAAAGACTCAGAAAAGTTAACTCAATTAACAGGAAATATTTACTGTGCTAGGTAATGGGTTCAAGTAGGATGATGACTAAAAGATATTTGGAGTTTTTGGCCATTAGGATATTATTGGGATCCCTGGGAGGACAAATTCCTTGGAGTGGTGGGGGCAGCATGTGATTTGATTGAGAGGGAATAGGAGCAGCTGGTAGAGACTACTATGTCAAATTTGCCAGGGAAGAACCAGAAGATGAGGAAGATACTGAAGGAATCAGCCATATTTTAAGTGCTACCGAAGATGAAGGTAGGTAGACAGGAGATCATTTTAAGCCCAAAAAGTCAGAAAAGCCTTGGTAAAGACCTATTTCTTCTTTCCCTATATCAACTGCTTTAATATTTTCAAGTTTAAATTCCCTGAAAACCCATGCAAATCTGTGATTCTTCCTGTAAGAAAAAATATAAAAATGATCCACTTCTGATTTCTCTTCTCTCTTGATTTAAAATTGGGGTTTTAAAAACTTTAATAATACAGATTTGTAAAGAGGCAAGGATTCTATTTAAATCAAAATAAGTGCATAGAAGATTGAACAGTGAGGTAGCTCTTCAGAGAAATTATGCTAGTCTACAAACTGTGGGGCATTTTGATAGCTTTAGAATTTCTATTTTCAGCCCCTCCAAAACACCAGGTAAATGAGAAAGCTGGGAGACAAATTATTAAGACTTCAAAAATAAAAATTCAGTTGTCCTAGTAGCCTGAAGTTTGAGCTAGTTCTTGTTTCTCAAGGAATTATTCACTAATCTCCAGTTTTCAATGTTTCATTCAAGAAATATCTTAAGATTTTTTTTAATAAGAAAAAGTAGGGGTGCCTGGGTGGCTCAGTCGTTAAGTGTCTGCCTTTGGCTCAGGTCATGATCCCAGGGTCCTGGGATTGAGCCCCACATCGGGCTCCCTGCTCGGCGGGAAGCCTGCTTCTCCTTCTCCCCCTCCCCCTGCTTGTGTTCCCTCTCTTGCTGTGTCTCTCTCTGTCAAATAAATAAATAAAATCTTTAA